GTTGTGATTCATGCACTTCATGGTTGTCCTTTTTTTTATATGAACTCCTTTCAATCAAGTTGACCTATTGATATTCCCACAAGGTGTTCGACTAAATGTCTTAAAGAACGAGTAGGGGGAGAAGGGTGTTCTTTCCTTTGATTTCGCCCTTTTTCCTTTTTGCTTTTTGAGTTGACCTCTCTTTGCTCTTCCCACTATCTCTTTTAACCAAGGCACTACTTCTCTTTTGCTAACTTATCATCCTTGTGCTAATGATATGTTTTAAGCTTTGTTAAGGATGAGGAAATCAAAGAAAGTGCATGAGTCATCAACCTCGATCAAGGGTGGGAAGAAGGCACCTCACCTGTATCTTACCTTCAGAGACAAGGACAAGGCTGAATATGCACACTTTCGATAATATGGAGAACATCGTTGCATCTCTTGGGAAGTTTTGGAAGGATTTGGAGCCACCACGACCATTCAAGATCTCATCCAAGACCCGACTTGGCTCAACCTTTTGACAATCAACGAGAAGATTTATGTTGAACCAACCCTTCAGTTCTTGACCACGTTGAATTGCTCAGTGCTCACCATCAATAGAGATTTTCCAAGAACTCTTTCATTCAGTCTTGGAGGTGTACCAAGGGTTATGAGCTTCAATGAATTCACCGAGGCTATGGATATTTACCCTCCTAGTTTCATCTTCACTCAAGAAGGCCTTGCCCTCCAAGGAGAAGAGTTGGCCTCTTGTCATCATGCCGAGGATTTCTTCACTAGCCATCTTAAAAATCCAGATTATCAAGCACCTTTTAACCCAAAATCTACAAAGAGTACATCCTTGAAGCCCGAATGGCGCATTCTCCACAACATCATCAACTACTCGGTCGCTCCTGAGGAGAAGTCTACGAGCAACTTGGCCCAGCGAGATCTCGACCTTTTGAGGTTGATGTTCGTCAAGCCTCACCTGAACCTTGGGTTGGTCATTCTCAAAACCCTATACAAGAAAATAACCAATCTGACAGTGAAGACCATCCACGGAGGAGCATATGTTACTCGTCTTGCAAGCTATTTTGGCATCAACCTAGAATAATGAAGTGCATGATCATACGCTCGACTCAGATGTTTACTAGGGATCACCTATCCATGATGGAGCTTCTGGAGATTATCAATGGCAAGAAGACCATAAAGGGCATAACCCCTCGACCACTCAGACTTCAGCTTCAAGGGCCCCAACTGGGTTAATCATTCTCTAGCTCTCAGGCATACCAGATTGCAACCCTCATTGAGCATAACACCATTCTCATTAAGCAGAACTCCAAACTTATTGAGGATCATGGGGAGATCCATTTTCTGCTGAAGCGAGAGAGGAAGTCCATGCGTAATCTCTTAGGGGCGGTCCACATGATAATGAAGAAGATGCAAATGGATCCAAGCAAAGTTAAGCAGGATTTTCCACTTTCACCTCCGTCAGTTGGTGACCACCTTGTCTTAGAGGGCGACTACCATCTTGAAGACAACTCAGAGGAGGAATGAGTTCTAGGCATCTAGGGCCTACATTCTATCTTTTCTTTTTCTTTTGCTTTTATTTATTTTAATTAAAATAATGTTTAATTATCGCTTTATTTTTTTTACTTCTTGTACTTTAATTAACTAGCACTAGTAGTAGTAATTATTGTATATATATATATATGTATGGTTTTATCGTACACCAGGCAAAATCTGGTGTATGTCGTACAGTAGACAATCGCATACCTATAACTCCTATTAGCCTTCCTCTCCATCTTATGTGCTTTATCGTTGTGAAAATCACCAGAAAGACAAAGATTACACTTGTGAACCATCACCAACCCACAACCCGATCTATGGTAACACTCACCATCTTTTCTTTGGAAACTCCCACATTGAGGACAATGTGTTGCTCAAGTGTGGGGGGTGTTTGTGTTTGTTTGAATGACTATCATGATTGGTTGAACCATTGATTGCTAATATCCTCCCTTGTTTTTGAATGTAAGACGTTGATAAACGCTTATGGGAGTGTGTGCTAGTAATCGTTTTTATGTTGTGGTGATGAATGGTGAAATTTTAGTGTTTTGGAACCTAGAATGTTACACCCAAAACTTTCAAATTTGAGGGTTCCAAAGCACCTTGTCCTTGCAATTACCTAATTAATGTGCTTTCACTTGATTTGATTGATTGATGTGTAGTGCATCTTAGGTGATAGTTGCATAGTTTGAGCATTGGTACGTGAGGGATTCTACTACTTTCTTCCTCTTTTGTGAGTAGACAATATTTGCTACCTTAGGAAGGCATTGTGTGTGGGATTATCTATTGGTTGCAGATGGCGAGAGAGGTGCAGGCTTATGTAGCCTCTTGTGACACATGCCTGTGAGTCAAGGCTTCGCTGCTGCGGCCTGCATGACTTCTTCAGCATTACTAGTGTCAGAGCGAGTGTGGGAGGACATTAGCATGGACTTCATTGTGGGATTGCCACCATTGGGAGGCAAGACAGGATTACTGGTGGTGGTGGATAGGCTCACCAATTGTGCTCATGGCGTTTGTCCCATCTATATAAGGCGAAGACTATGGCCGAGCAGTTTGTGCTTGAACTGGTGTGACTTCACCGTTCCCACGATCGATTGTCAGTGATAGGGATGCCTTGGGCGTTTTTTGCATGAGGTATTTGCCTTAGCTAAAGCCGATTCGGATGAGCTCGGCGTATCACTCGCAGACCGATGGCCAGACCGGGGTGATCAACAAGCACCTAGACCAATATCTACGGGTTTTGCACATCAGTATCCTCAAAGCTAGTTAACCATGTTGCCTTGGGTGGAGCTTTGGCATAACACCACCTACCACATAGTGATCCAGACGACACTGTTTGAGGCACTATATGTACGACCCCACAAGCTTTGATATGTTACTAGTCTAATACTAGTTCAGTGGACGCGGTAGACAGATGGTTGGCCGCGGGAGGCGTGGCATCGGCCCAACTGCGGGCAAACTTGGCTGCCTCCAACAACTAGATGTAGCAGTTAGCTCTCGACCGACTCTCGAACGTCGGTTCGAGGTCGGTGATTGGGTTATGCTGTGATTGCATCCGTGCCGGTAGACTAAGTATTATGGAGGGCGTGTCAGAAGCTAGCATCACGATACTTCAGGTGGTCGAGCAAATCGGAGTCGTGGCTTATAAGTTGCAGCTACCTGCAACGACGCATATTCATCCGAGATTGCATATATCCTTACTACGCGGGTATCGCGATGCCACCATACTGGATCAGCCGTCGGTGCCGTCTGTTAGTAAAGATGGTGTGCTCGAGTTAGATCCACTAAAGGTGCTGAAGACGAGGTGGGTTCAAGTGTGCTCTCGGCTGACTGAGGAGAGCATGATTCGTTGGCAACACATGGGACTGGAGGATGCCACGTGGGAAGACAGAGCGACCATACGCCAAACTTATCTGGCGTTCGACCTTGAGGGCAAGGTCGGTCTTCCAAAGAAGGAGAATGTGAGAAACTCGGCCGGATAGGACTAGATACTTGGGAGCAATTCTACAATTATTTATTATTTGAGCATCCCTATTTTAGAAGGGAAGACGATTACTTTTGAGATTATGGAAAAAGAAGATTGAAAATCCTTATTTCCTTCTCTCTCAACTCTCATGCGTTCTTCCCCCTTTCCTTCTCAATTCTCAATCCCTAAACTCAATTCTTCTTCTCAATTCCCCAAATTGTCAGTACTTCCTACAGGTTATCAGTTGATCAAATAAATTGATAGAATTTTATCCTCCAATAATATATGGTAGAGTTGTGTGTACTTTACAATTAATTATTTATCTCATATAAAAAATATCAATATATCAGTTGTTGAACCCAGATCTCTTCAAACAAAGACAACAATCACAACCAACTACACTAAAGAAATTTGTTGAATATTTTTTAGTACAAAACATAGACGAAATTCAACTTTGAAACCCATATGACTTTTCCATCATGTTTAGCAAGCTCACTAGGTCTACCGTATGTAATTTTATGGTGCTTGACACTTCAATTTCATGGTAGAGTTTCATGTAAATTTCTCAATTTTAAAATTCATTCTCTTTCAGTAATTTTCACTAAAGGTAAATCGGTAATTGGCTAACATGGAATAAACAAATTTTGTTACTACGTATTGTGTCTTTCATTTTTCAAGTTAAATTTAATTTTGTGCTTTTGTTATCTTTGTTCTCATCTCTTTATAACTTCCTCTGAAATTTCCTCCATCGTGCAATAGTTTGCGCCCCTTTCACTTCCCAGAACAAGGCCGCCTTTTGAAAATCAATCTTACGGTAATCTTGGCACTACGATTTTATTCTTGGAGATTTAACCTACGCAAGTAGAATATTTCAACGCCAATATCAATCCATGACGAATAGAATGGAGTATAATAAATGGAGTTGTAGAAGGAGGATTAGAAATTTAATTTTTCGTTGAAACATGTCTCTTTAGATAAAAATTTGGTTGTACAACGGATAGCGGTGGATATTGGATCTTTAGGTTTATAGTTTTTGCAGCTATCACAAGTTAATTCTATCTTAAAACGAGGAACCATTGATTAATTTACTGAAGCAGGTCGATTCTTTATTCAATCTACTCAAACTGATAGATTAAGGACTGTCTAATTTTGTGGCTTAATACTTTGATCGAGTCTATTAGTATATTGGAGGTAACCCTAACTTTATTGTTTGCTCTTAAGTTTTGATGGTCCCATCTCAGCTGAATTGTTAATATATAGTTGACTTGAATCAACAATTCTCCATTTCATTTTGATTAGTGTCATATTGTATATTTTACATTTTTAAATGATGACGAAAGTTTGACCTGTATATTTTTTCTTCATGTATCATTTTGATGGAAGGATTGTCAATAAGATTAAACGGATTGATATACTTCAACGTAATATAAAAATATAAATTATCAAATATGAACATTCCGACCAACGAGCCGGGTTATAAGCTAGTTATATAAACTGCGTGTGTACTCTTCCAATGATAAAAATGAGCTTCTCACTGCTTGATAATGCCGGCTATTACAGGCTATATGACGTTTCTGTATATTAATGGAGCATGATTATACTAGATGCACAAGAAGGAACTTCTCTTTTGTGCGAGAGCATTCTGTAATGGCGCTATATACAGAGAGCTTTGCCATGAAAAACACGGATCATCGGTTGCATTATACAAGACTGAGTTCATCAGTGACCGAAGCAGATCTCGAGCTTTCTTGAGATTCATCAACGGCTGCCATCTTCTTCTTTAGTGCGACCAACTCTTCCCCTGCTTGACAAATGTAGGCTGAAGCTTGCCTGCCGGACAAAGTTGCTCCTTCCATGCTGTCTATATAATCCTGATCAAATTAGGAAACCACAACGACAAACTGTTAAAAGCATTCTGCAGTGCCAAGCTAGAACTAAAAAGTTACTTTTTTTTTACCTGTTTTGTGTATGAACCGGCAAGGAAGAAGTTTTTCACGGGAGTCTTCTGATCCGGCCGGAATGGATCTTTGCCTGGTCCTTCTCGGTACAACGACTGTCCGATTTTCACTACAGACGACCAGGTGACTTCCAGCCCTTGGGACGATGGGAACAAACTCACAACCTGTTTAGTGACTCTCTCTATGATCTTGTCATTCGTTAGAGGCATGTATGGATCACCTGGCGTTAGGACGCACCTGAAAGGGACGGATTCGTTGAAGTCGTTACCTTCAACATAATGGACATTTGATTCATTCAGGGAAATAGTGGAGTTAAGAATTTTGTTTCATACTGGAGCAGTGAACCTTGTCCCTCGATGTAGTAGTCTTCAGGAGAAGTGAGAGCTAGGTCAGCAAAACACGAGAAGTCTGCATCTGGTGTGTAAAGAAGGTTATCCAACCCTGCAGCTTGCCTCAATTGCCTTCTAACAGTGAAACCGAAACCAGTGTCAGGAAGGGATGCAACAAGGAAAGCACACTTTCCAATCGAGGAAGAGAGTCTCACTCACCTTGATCGCTCGAGATCCTGCAACTCGGTAACCCAGCCATTGTATCTAAGTTGAACTGTGATAACAGGCACTCCCACTAACTCATAGATGTTGTCAAAGAATTTTGATTCCCTCCATTCTTTAGGGAGCAGTCTCTTTATCCCAGGGACGTCGCATGCTACAGAAGAAGAGTCGAATCGATTCAGGACGATCATTGGGGCGGAAGTAACAGAGAAAGCATCATAAAGAAGAGGAATTTATCAACCTGCAACGTAAGCATCAGCTTTGATGGATTGCTTGTTAGTAGCCTGCAAAAAGGTCGAAAAACAGTCATTTCACTAAAATCCAAATGGCAAAGTTACCGCTGGTATACCGGTTTGGTCAAGTCAACCAAACCCAGAATCCAAGAATAAACCGATTTTCACTTTGCTTTTGTTTTTAGCTGAAATGCAACTCTCTGGTATTTAATCAGTTCGATTAACCAGAAAACCAAAACTGGTTAGCCATCCTTATGCAAAATAGAACCAACCCTTTCAAATTGAGGAGAGCCAGAGAGAGACGTACTCTGGAAACAGCAAGACCAGTCACGTATGTTTCGCCATGAGGAGAAGTCTCGTAGAGCACTTGCCTGCATCCCCACCTGAGATGAAACCTCCCGCCTTTGTCTTCTATGTACTTCCTTATGGGGCCACTCAAGAAAACGTCAGGGGAGCCTTTGAGCATCCTGAGCAAGGAAGCTTCGGTTTTTGTGGCGAACAAAGAGAATATGGTGAGCATGCAACGAGCACTGATGTTGTCGCAGTCGATGAACCCAAGGGCATAAGCCACAGGGTCCCACATTCGCTGGATGCTTGCTCGTGTACCCCCCTTCGATATAAACCAGTCGGAGAAGCTTATCTGGAGAAAAGTGAAATCATAATGCTAGCTCTTTAAGGGCATCATTATGCAGCAGCTGTTAGATAAGAAAGATGTAAATATGCAAATTTCTTACATTGTCCAAGTTCCTTATATCTCTCATTGCTCCATCCGGGTCTACTAGGGCTCGTACGACAGGACTTAAAGCAAGAGCCACTGCATTTCTGGCTTTATCATAGGTCTGCAACCAAATAGCACCATGAAATAGAAACCAAATGTATTTTAAACTTATTATCAAGAATGCTTAGCGTCTCCAATTTCAGACTGCAAGTTTTTCACCAGTCCAAACCAAGATAACATTTTGATCCAAATTGATAATTACCTTAAGTTGATTTGTGGTCAAGAATGCATTGATTCCGTGCAAAGGTGCTCCAACTGGGAATCGGAAATCAAGCTCTGCAGATCATAGCCATAGTTCTGTAAGCATCAATCATGCTCCAACTACAGCATATGTTTAGAAAGCAACAGCGTCTCTAGACAAGGAGCCACAATACCTCCAAGTTCACCCCCTTTGTTCACAAACGTGTGAGTGTGATCCTTCACCAATAAATTTTTATCTGCTCCCACCTACATTCAACCATATGTATCACAAAGCAACTGTTAAGGAAACCGTAATCCAAGCAAGTTGATATGTAATCACCATGAACAAGAGTATCATAGTTGTTCAGTGCAGCAGATACAACAACATAGTCAGAAAGCACTGAAATTCAACAGTCAAAGTGAAGGACCATATGTGTTATGGGTACTAGAAACAAAAGCCTACTTAGCCACTACAACTGAGATACTAACAACAGATGTCAGCCTCTCTGTTTACCTTCTTCATCAAACGGAAGAGATTGTTGTAGCAGCCAAAGAAGACATGGAGTCCCATTTCGATATGGTTTCCTTTCCTGTCAACGAATGAACCAACTTTACCACCTATGAAGGACCTCGAATCGTATATGTCCACCTCATGCCCTTGATCCAACAGCTCTACAGCAGTTGACATCCCAGCTAGCCCGGCACCTATTATAGCTACCTTCAACTTAGGCCCCCTATAATGTTCGGGTTCAGGTGGGAACAACCCTTTTGGAGCTGCAAACAGCCACGTCATCGTTCAAAAGTAAGGTAAGAACTAAGAGGAACACAGAGCAAGAAACCTAGTAAGGAAACACTGCATTCTTAAAATCGAATCCTCAATGTTTGATCAGTAGAACCACAATAAGTCTACATCTAACCACCACAAACAATCGTTCTAGAATTTGAAATTTCAGGTTTGTGAGAATCCCACGCAAAAATGATCCTTCCCCATCAAACCCATCAAATGATGACATTCACGACCCAGCAAAATGCTTCAATTAAAGCTCTCCTTTCGAAAGACCCCTCAACTCAATCAAAGCTCACATCAACGTCTTCCCAAATTCAGAATCAATCACAGATAAATTTTCAGAATTACCATTAACACTCATATTGGAGACGTTTGCCTCCAAGGAATCCAAAGCAGACCGAACGGAAACCGACCCAGGAGCCATCCTCACTGCCTGAGCCACGGAACGTCGCCGCTCGGAGAAAAGGAACCCCGATTTCCCCCAACTCCTGGTTCCAGTCACGGAATTCGCGGGAAACAGAATCGAAGAAGCAGCCATAGCTCTGAAGAACTCAACAGGAAACAAAATAATTCTTCTGATTTCTTCTTCTGCTGTTAATTCTACTTCTCCAGCTTCTGTCTGCCGGCCAGAGAAAGGCGGAGAAATTTAAGGGAATGAAGTTCAAGCGCAAATGGGGCTAAGTAGAGTTAAATAACTGAAGGGAAATGGCAGATACCCAATGAAGGGGAAGAGGGTAGAGACTAAAGAAGGTATCTTTGGATGAAGAAGATGCTAAGAGCGTAAGATTTGTCACGTAATTAAGAGCTCGTCCTCAGAAAGGGTTATACCTATACGGAATCTTTTCCATTGCAGGAGAGCGGGAAGTGTTCGTTGGTGGTTGTGGTTTTTGGCGGTTTATAAAATTGTTTATTGTGCCATTACTGTTACCGTGGAGTCGGATGGAAAAAGAAGAACGGAACTACCAAACTGAATTCGAAAGAAATTTAAAAAGCCTCTCGCTCCTGATTCCTCCTTTTGGATTTTTTTTTCCTAAACTACACGTTTAAAAAAGGTTATAGGTATAATACGCCCATTTACTATGCATTTTTATCAAATATGCCTCTCTGTGGCGGAGGCAGCATTTTAACCGACCCCTGTCCTTTTTTCATAACTTAAATATATAAATATCTAATAAAAAAATTATTTAATAAAAAATAATTATATCCAAATAATTCATTCATAAATTAAAAATAACCGATTATACTATCATACTTTTTAGAAACAACTACGAAGGAATTTCATATAGTTAAAGAAGCGCAAAAACATTTGTTATCTACACTATTATATAAGTCTCTTTCAATGTATCTTACTAAACAAGTATTAGCAAACTGGTCGCCAAATTGACCTAGAAACTTGTTCTTAATATAATTCAAAGCTGAAAATGCTCTTTTTACACTTGCAGTTGTAATTGGTAGATCAAAACTAGTGGAATTGCCGTTGTCGCTAGACAATTTCAGGGTTGTTTGGGAAAGATAGAATAGGCATAAGGAGAAAAGAGACCCGATTAGTTCTTTATTGCAATTGGAATTTCGTTTATTATATAATAAATTAATTTTATGTCAATTTTGGACAAGTAATGAGTTGTCTTGTAGTGACAAAGTACTCTAATACTACCTATACGTGTTGTGTTCCATCACCAATATAAATATATATGGCTATTTTTGTTCCACCAGCATTTACCCCTGTCCCGGGACAAGGCCAAAAGGCCCTGCCTCCGCCACTGATGCCCCTCTATTATGTTTTACATCAGAAATGCCCCTTTATTTGAAAATCATAATCAAACATGCCCCTTTGTTAAATTTTCCATCAAAAAACCGTTAACTCCGGTCGAACCATGGTTTGAGTGACCGGACCACAAAAAAAAATAGAAGGCCAAATGTCAATTTTGCCCTCCCTTTATTCCCTACACCAAGGCTCTTTCATCTTCCCCGTTACAGCCTCTCAAAAGTGGATCATCCCTCTGTTCCGTTCCTTTCGACTTCGTCCTCCCAAGTCCCACGTGCCGCCAATCCTGCAGTCGATTTTTCCATCTTTAGCCCCCTCTTTATTGTCGAGTGGATAGCGCCGAATTCGGCCTCTTCCCCTTCATCTTTCATAGTTTCTCTCCCCCTAAAATCCCTATTCCTAATTTCCTCTTCAAAGAGTAGTACACCGACGAGATATTGTGCTCCGGTGGTCCATCATTATATTGGCGGTAAGAGTGGCTTTGAGAGCTTTTGAAAATGATGTACTGGGATGGGCGACCAACAAACTATCATTGAAATGATTATCTTTTGAAAATGATGTACTGGGATACAATTATACTCTGAAGTTTATGGTTAATGTTTTGTTCTTGGTTAATATAATCAATAGTGATATTACGATATTGCAAGTTGCCCTTTATATATATATCCATTTTAACGGAGGGAAGAGGTCAGGGTGGGGTGGGGTGGGGTGGAGTGGGGTGGTGATTAGATGCGTTCGGAAGGGGAGAATATGAGGATTAGGTGATTGAAAATTAATTAGGGGTATTTTAGTCATTTTTTATCACTCAAACAATGGTTCGCCCGGAGTTAAATGATTTTTGGACGGAAAATTTAACCATCACTCAAAATTTATATATATCCATTTTTATCACTCAAAATACTTACATTACAAAAAAAAAATTCCAATATACACATGTTTGACAAAGACTATTGTTAACAAAACTGGTGAATAGACTGTTTTAGTCTAACGCGGTTAATAGTTTTTTAACCATCACTGTTGTTGTCACTAACAATGAAGAGCTCATCGAAGACGTGGATCGCTGACGTCGACCGCATCACATTCATTGTCGTTAACAAACACGATAAATACATTGTGGTCCACGTCAGCGATCCGCGTCGCCCATACAACTTCTTCGTACATAATCCCGCCAGCACCCATGTTTAGATACTGGTAATTAATTTTACCAACTCTCGTCTGTCCACCCATACAAATCTTGCCTGCACGAATGTCGTGGAGTTCTTGCCATGTGAATCATGACTCAATTTTCAACATAGTAGATTCACCATCTTCATAATCGATCCCATTGTCAGAGTTTGTCACTCAACCATTCCACCGAATAAGAAGCCGAAACTTCAAAAATTAACCCATGCCTGCAATTTATAATAAATAACTATTAGATTAACTCGAATAAGATTAGTATAGGGTTAATAGCATTTTATACCCCTCTATTATAGTAAATTAACAAACGTACCCCTCTATTTAATTTTTGCACAAACATACTCTTCTAATATTGAAATGTGTCGAGTTTACCCCTTCCGTCTAACTATCTACTAAGTGATCGTTAAAAGTACGATAAAATAACTCAATTGCCCCTCATTTACTCTTAAATACTCCTCATTTTAATTTTAATTATTTTATATCCCAATTAATTAATTAAAAAAATCAAAATCTTAAATTAATTCACATTGAAACCAAATCTTGCTCAAACACGGCGCCTGTCCGTCAGCGACTGTGTCGATGCCGCCACCGTCCCCTTTCCCCGCCAAGTTTGTTGGAGACAAATAAGTTGTCGACGTTGGAAGTACTGTTGGATCTCCTCTTCCGCCCTGGAGCCGACGACGAGGCCAATTTAAACGACCCAAATCCGAATATCTTCCAGATCCCAGGCGACCCGGCTTGGGTCGGCTTCGGGTTTTTCTCATCCTTTCTCGCCACAAACTTCTTGCTCCGTTTCTTCTGTTTTACTGTCGGCTTGGGAATGGCCATGGCAGTCTTCTTACCGCTGCACTTCTTGTGCTTGATTTGCCGATGTAGGAGGCCTTCGGTGATGTCGGCTCCTCGGTCGCCTTCCTGGACTTGAACCACCCATGCACTTCTCGGGGATCCCTTGGCAGGAAATAAGGTCGGAGAATACTGAGTAATTCCCTAGTAGTTTGGTACTTTGTAGTTGGAGAAAGGGTGCTGCTACTTATTGATGTTATGGGTAGGAATGGTCTTTTCAAAAAAAAAAAAAAAAAAAGGAATGGCAATGGCAATGGCAATGGCAATGGGCAGGTCTGGGACGGGTTTCTTGTCACCCAGACTCGCCCCGTGGCAGGTCAGGTACGGGTTGAGTAATTTATCACGGGTCGCGAGTCAGGGCAGGTCGACCCAATGAGTATGCAATTTATATGAAAAAATTAGAAATATTTGTTATTTCTATTATAAGACCAAGAAAACAAACAATATTATGATAAATGTAGTTAAATTATTGGAGAAATTGAGGTTTTCACTAATTTACAACTTTATTATAGCTAAAATATGATATAATAAAAGAAAAATCCTAAGTAATTTGACTAAAATTACATGTACTTTAGGTAAGAACGGGTTGAGAATGGGTCGGGTCCGATCAGGTCGATGAGAGTACCCATGTCCGGGATGGCGGACGGGTCAGACCCGTCCCAAAACAGGCCAAACAGGTCGGGTAAAACGGGTCAGATCAAAATTGTCATCCCTAGTTATGGGTATTGTGGTGGTTAGGGCCTCGGGTCGGGCTGAAAAGTGGGTTGTTGAAGTTGATCGAATAACTTCTTTGAGGAACTTGAGTCTACACATAATATAATAACATAAAGAGAAAAACTGTTGCTACATTTTAAATTTCCTGCAATGAGAGTGAATTTAGGAAGTACATTTTAAATTTCCTACATTTTGGTCTTCACAATTGCTTATTTATTATTTATTTATTCATAAAAAAGACATGTGCCAGGTTTTGAACCATGGTCACTTTAAGAAAAAGCAAGAATCATAGCCAATCACACTAAGTATATTTGTTGTATCTTTTTTAAATTAAAAATATGCATGTAACTAAATTCTGAAAATCATTTGACTTTTTCAACGATTAGCTGGTCACTGAATTTCCCGTAAGTACTTATTTAGTTTTGATACTTTGATTTTCATATTTTGATTATTTTAGTTGTATTTTAATACTTAAGTTCGGTAACCGAAGTAACTGAACTTCGGTCGGTTATCGGAGGCTGGACGAAATGATTTTTGGTCTTAAAAGTGGTTCGGTTAACCGATAACCGAGAAATCGAAGCTTATTTCGGGCAGTTCCGGCGTCGAAGAGTTATAACGACCAGTAGTCGACGTCGAACAGGAAGAGCTGACACCTTTGAATTGAGGAGAATCGACACCGTCTCGATGCTTCTGGTTGCTGGATATTATTATCCTTTCTGTTTTTACATCATCGTAACTATAGACTTGTGGAAGTCCTGGGGATGGAAAGCCCAAAGATCATTTACTAATAATCTTCGACTTTTTTTGTGGCAATAATCTTGGACTTTAATTTAGTTTTTCCTCGAATTTCAAATTGTTAAATTTTATGACGAAAAAAATGGAATGAAGGAATAATACAATCTAAATGCATAATTGTGAAAATATACCCTTTTTCATATTATTAAACCTATATTCATTAATATTTTATGGTTTATATATTGTTAATATAAACAAAATAAATGATATTTTGTATACTAATTGTCAATTATATTAATATAAAACAATTATATATAATGTAATAATGACGCTCTCATCACGCTCTCAACTTTAAGTTCTTCTGAAATAGACGCTCTCGCTCCCGCTCCCGCTCTTGCTCCCCGAACTGGTTACCTAAGGCAAGACTGATCGCCCACTCCCCCGCCACATCTACCCTTCTCATCTACATGCCAACTGCGGATCGACTGGTGATTTACAACAAACTCACCACCTGTACCGACCTTCTACACCGATTCCGATTTTTCGTGGTCAATTTCATGTGAAGTTCGTGCTTCTTCCTGTTCTAGTGACGATTTCTCCACTTCTTAGCCCGACCGGAAGCTATTTCCATACCCCTCTGTCTTTGTTTCTCTCCCGCCGACGAGCAGATATGGTCGGGGAAGCGTGAAGGATTGGGTCGGGAGATCCATCCGCTGTTTTTGCGATTTCCACCCTCCTTCCCGGTGATTCTGGGTTCAGTGGATTCATTGTGCTTTCTGGTTTTTGTCATGCCATGATAAAATTTAAATAAATCACGAATGAACAACACGATTTGGGATAGGACCCGTCGTTTCTGTATTCCTAGAAAATGGTGGTAAACACGAACTCAACTGTCGAACTGGTTTGGATTAAGATTTTTATCGGGTGTCAGGGAACCATGTGATTATAAATTAGGCTTTATCAAAACGGGCCAAAACTTGAAATTCAGCATGTGTTAACCGACCCTGTGCCAAATTCCTATTATTCTTTACTTTTGAACTTTCTATTTGAAAATAAAAAATAGCGAAAGAAAATAGAAGAATGCAATTTGCCATTTGCACATCATTTTTTCGGGAAGAAAACCATAAAAAGTCGAAAGGAAACTGAAAGTATTTAGGATTATTTTAACGTTAAAAATAATCAAATGCATCTTTTTGTTTAGTTTTTTACTAACAAATACCAAACGTTTCCCTATAAAATACACTATAATTTAATCATTATGATATCAAATAATTACATAACATATATTTGAAATGATAAAAATTGGACTAATCGGGTTGGTCGATGTTGAACCATTTAATAACTTTAAAATACATTATATTTTAGATACTAAGATATAAAATAATAGCATAATAGATGTTTCTAATTAGAAAAACTAGGCTAAACGAGTTGGATCGTAGGTTAACCATTTAACCCTTTCCGTGAGTTGATGAATGGATTGTTCCATTCGAATTAATAACTTTGACGACAAGATGAAAGTTTTATAAACAAAATTAATCTGCCAACGGGCTGAGTAAAAGCTAGCAACGATTATGAGATGCTCATTTCTCGCAGACTAGAGGGACAGGCGATTTTTTATCCGGTTTTCTAGAATTCGGTTTCTGTAAACTTACTCCACCTACTCATATTACAGGAAATAATACTATTTCACAAGGTAACAGGTACTCGAACTTGGTTCATAAGGCTGGTTTTTTTATTGCATCATTCATGCCTCTTTTTTGCTAAAATTCACTATCTTTATCACGTGTTTCCAAAAAAAAAAAAACTAAACAACAATAATCTATACACCTCATTACATTCTCAAATTTCATAACTCACATCCTCCGGCCAACTAGCCGGGGCTCCACGCTAGTACGTTGTGATGGTTTTTGTTCTTTGGCTTCCTCTGTTTCTCTGTCGCCGAGAGGGACTAATCCTAGGGGAGACGGACGGTTTCGATGTCAATTAGTGTAGGGTTTTGGTTTTTTAATTAATTTATTTGGGACATAAAATAATTAAAATCAAAATAAGGAGTATTTAAGAGTAAATGAGGGGCAATTGAACATGAAAATTCATCTAAAATCATAACTAACTAACATCCATCATATCATAATTGATCAAAATATCTCTAACAGTAATTCATTAAAAACAAACATATAACTACTAAAATCTAAATACAAAATTATAACATACCGAAAAATTGGAGTTTTTGTAAGCATAGTTGCTGGTAGTAGGCTGAGAAGGGGATTTCTGCTTAAATTTTACAAAATTGTGAGTTTTTGTAATTCTTCCCGAGCTTTCTCTACACCCCAACAATTTCCCACACTTAGGCGCTCAATATATCCAATTGGGGGCCTAACTATGCTTCGATTCCTACTTATGCTTCTCATTGTTATGCGCCTTGTTCGGATTCGTGGATCCATACTTGTCTTCATTTCTCAACCTTCCCTTCTCTTGGAGAATTATTTTGAGCCTTTCGTTCCTTTGCTGGTTGTTTACGAACACGCGTAGCGTGCGTTTTGTTCCAACTACTTTTTCTGTTCGAGGCGCATGATCGGTGGACATGTTTGTTGGGTTTCCTCTTTTCATATGGTCGAGGTAACCAATGGGTTTGTACACTTAGTCTTTGTCCTTCTTCTTGGGCTTCTCTCTTTGAGCTTTCTCTACACCCCGCCAATTGCCCAACAATTAGCGCTCAGTATATCCAATTGGGCGCCTAACTGTGCTACGATGTCTGCTTGTGCTTCTCATTTTTATACGCACTTATTCGGCTTTGTGAATCCATACTTGTCTTCACTTATTGGTTTTCTTTTGACTTGGAGAATTACAACGCGATTCTTTTTCCTTTGCTAGTTGCTTACGAACACGCGTAGCATGCATTTTGTTGCAACTAATTTTCTGTCCGACGCACACGACCATTGGACATGTCTGTTGGTGTGACCATTGGGCTTCTCCCCTGCCCCCAGTCTTTTCTTTGCAATCCCTTGCTAGAATTTCCTCGTCTTTTTCATTCCTCTTTGGAAAGGCGCTCGAAAAAAATTACGTTGCAAAAGGACGCACCTGTTGCCCTTTATTTTCTCTTATAGTAAGTGCTTTGGTAATTGCAAGCACCCTATGTGCTTCGCGTTGTACAAGTTACCTTCAATCATCATGTGTTCCTCGGTTGTAACAACTGCTTTAGTAGTCACGTGTTTATAAGATTTCACTTCGAACACAAAAGATTGTATGCGCTTTAAGTATCTCCTCGAAACCTTGAATGTTTCTAGCACCCAGACTAAGTTTCATTTCAGAGCCGAGTCCACTTTGGGTCCCCATGCCCACCACGCTCATCCCAATATGCATCCCTTGTAAGGGAAGCGATAAAAAATTTTGAATGAGATTTGAACTGAGCGGCTCAATAGTAAAAATAACGCATCTCGATCGCTCAACTATGCCTACATTCTTGTGTCATCGCTAGAGATCCCCTTTAGTACAGACAAGACACGACGTAGACTTCAATGCTCCTACAATAAAAAGCA